TAAAGGCTGGGTTCTCGACTCGAACGACAGCATTAGCCCGGGTTATGCTGTTTCCGTTGGATAGGTCTAAGGGTTCGCGCTCGTCCGTGGACCGCTCCCCCGCGTCCAGTTAGGTGGTCAGAATTCCCCTCCACCCACGCTGGCTATTAAGAGCCCAGTCCTGCGGACAAAGAATTTAATCCGGCATGGGCAAATCGGGATGGCACGTCTACTCCTCCTCCTCCTCGCTGATGCGCACAAGTGCGCCTACAGTGGACTTTCTATTGCCTGAAATGTCATCGAAAATCTTGAAATGTGCTTTATACTTTCGAAAGAAAAATACCTAAGGGGAGTTAATTCGTGGGCAGCTTATGCCACAGAATTTCAGTCGCTTAAGGATGTCAGTCTTTGAAGGATTCGCTCCTGTCTGCAGAAAATGCGTCCCATAAAAATCGACTGCTTCAGAGGAAATTGCCGAGGAAATCAAGCACACACACACACAGCGGATGGCAACAGCAGAAAAATGTGGTTGTTTGCGTGGGTGTGTACGCATGCGCGCACACAGCAGGGCATTTGACAAAAACACTTTTATTATTATCATTATCATTAGTAGTAGTAGCAATAGTTCTGGGGCCGGAAGAGTGTGCGCATACCATTGGACATGCCGGAGGCTTATCGTTAAGGCAGAGGTTGTTGCTGCTACTGCTGCTGCAGCTGCTTCAAGGAATACTTAGCGGAGGCTTGCCATCTCAGGAAATGTCAACAAAAAGGCTAAAGTGGTTTATCGATTAAAACAACCATATTAGCCGGGGGGTTTGCTGTTTTACCCGGACAGGACTAAGAGCTAGCTCTCTCGCCATTAATTACCCCAAGGACCACCTTCCTGCCTCCAGCCGTTGTCGATCAGCGCGTCCAGAAGTACACTCCATTCACTCTGACTACTTATTGCCTAGTTCAGTGTGCAAATAGGGATGGAATGTCCTGACCCGCTCGCTGTACACAAGTGTACCTACGGTGGACTTGCAATTGCCTGAAATGTCATCGGACATTCTGAAATGTGCTTGTTTTATACTTTCCGAAAGAAATTACTTCAATGGAGGTGTAGCATTAATTAACAGGCAGTCTAATGCCACAGTATTTCAGTCACTTAAAAATGTCAGCTTTTGTAGAGTTCGCTCCTGCCTGCAGAAATCGCACCGCGTAAATAATGAATAATTCAGTGGCATGAATTTTTCTCATCAATTTTCGATGCCCTTCGACGTCACGAAAATATACTCTCTACATGAATTTGGTAACAAATTACGTCTTCTACCAATGCGAAGTCAAGACATCCCTCGGTTTCAACCATTTTTAGTTATAAGATATTCGAAAACCATGAAATGCTCATTCATAATACATCGTATCCGTCAGTTTATAAGTGGTGACTGTAAAGCTTCTGAGCACGATGTGACGTCTTCCGCAAAACCTAGAGAAATGTGCGATCTCCCCTAATGTAGTTTGGAAACCCTAAATGCAAGCCTCACGGCAGGTTGGGTTCAAAATAATTGGGCAATTACCAACATTTCTGGAAAACAAAAAGAAAGCCCTATTTTTTTCAAGTATAAAATATGCGTAAGACGTATTTTACTACCAAGTAATTGCCAGAGAGGATATTCTCGTACAATTTTTCTTATTTTGAGTCATGAGAGCATCAAAAATCGATGAGAAAGTCACGCTACTTGAGTAGTCCTATTTTAAAAAAGTGGAGTTCAACAGCGGGTATCCCGGTGCGACTGAAATAATCTTCGATGAGATTGCGCGATAATGAATGTTAAAAACTATACCTAGCCGACTTCTTTTCGAAACAAAAAGACATTGTAGAATTTCCCTTAACATGACGTTAAGATGACAAATCTACAGCAGATAAAAGTGGAATGTGGACAGCCTACTTGAGCGTGCCACCCACGACGGGAGATACAAGGCACGGGTGCCGCCAATTGGTCTACGGGTAATAAATTGGGAGTGCGAACCTCAAACCTGCTCAGCTTAAAACACCGCAATCCCCAGGCCCATATGGTTGTCCAATTAACCACGACCAGTCCGCTAAATACCTTGCCCACCATTTGCTGAAAATAAATGTTTTAGAATGGCACGGAGTAGACGTGTGTAAACTCTGAAGGAACACAAATGAAAAGTATTTGTGCTTGGGTGCGTTTAAGAGCGGCAATGAAGGTAGTCAAGGAAGGAAGGAAGGAAGGAAGGAAGGAAGGAAGGAAGGAAGGA